GTGACGTACCTTGTTCATGCTAGAGTATCTCATTCTTGCCAAGTCAGCAATTACAAATTTATCTGCAGTTGCTCCCTGTGTATAGCTATACTTCTCTTTTCGGGAGGCCATTTATGAAGTTCTTGCCACCTTTGGTGGCGAAGACTATGTATGATACATAATGTATCCTAGACGAGGGATTTTGTCCTTTTTGTGTATACAGAAATTCACCGCACAAGCGATGAGCATTCTTGACAAGAATTTCTTGTATCGCAAGTGTTCTGTTGATTCAATCGAAAGTGATCGCCGGGTTGAGATGCGGCAGTAAATTACTGGAAACAATGGACAGTATCTTTACGTATTACTGCCAGTAATACGTAAAGATACTGTTTCCATTGGCTCTCGCATCCGATACACCTCCAGAGTATTTACTCTATTTCATACTAAACTCACTGGATGACGAAATAATATCCGCGCGCAAGACGTGGGTGACCAGCAATTGCTGAATCAGTCTCGAGACGGCTGCCGTAATTTGCGATTCCACTTATAAACACTTCGATGTCAGCGAGTTTCTGACCAGGGATGAATTCACAATAACAAATGATATAGGTCGATGGGCGGATCGTGACAAAAGTATTTCCCAGAGAAAGATCAAATACGCACCTGTTGCGATACTTCGAACCGTAGATACGACTAGTTCTTTCGTTCCTCTCACTAAAACTTTTTCCTATGCCAACGTGAATTACTGAGGCCTTCTCTTGCGAGTTTTATAGCAGTGGATTCCGACTAGGTTGCTGTCAGTAGAACTCATGGGATTATCATCCTATCTAGGGCATGGAATTTTCCGCCAGGGCCGTGACAAAATAACCTCATTGAAACCAACGCTCAAGGTAAGTTTCGTTGTAGATTCAACTTCACTGAATACGTGATGTCCGGCTCGAACGTAGCCTTCCGTCGGCCCTCTGGAGCTCACACGTTGTGACTCAATTGCCAGAGAGAAAAGGCGCGACTGCGGATCGAACCCTGGACCTCTTTGAAGACTACAATGATCGAGCTAAGATACCTAGCATTGTGCTAGGCTTAAAAAGATACTCTCGAGCTTTTATGGTCCTTCATTGTATATCGTGAGTATGTGAGGTCACTTTACAAGTGCTTTCTTTCAGTTCATCGTTCCATTACTCCAATGTCTCTTCGTTTGGTTTCGATATTCGCTACCGCTATTCCTGCTGCTCTTGCGTGGGGTCACGATGGTCATGCAGTTGTTGCCCAGTTAGGCCAAGAGCGTATCAAGAAGGAGACTCAAGAGGCTCTTGACGCTATAATGGGCAAAGGCGTCCCCATGTCCAACTACTCCAGTTGGGCTGATGAAGTCAAGTATGGTCCTGATGGAAACGAATGGAAATGGTCGTCTTCTCTTCACTACGCCGATACTCCCGACTGCCACTTCGACTACGCCCGAGACTGCAAGAACGACTACTGTGTTGCCGGCGCTCTGAAAAACTACTCTAGACGGGTCGTTGATGAGTCCCTCCCTTTGGAGCAGCGACAAGAAGCGCTCAAGTTCATCGTTCATTTTGTTGGTGATGCTCATCAGCCTCTGCATATCGGTAAGCCGGAAGACCTTGGTGGGAATAAAATTGCGGTCCATCTTGGTTTCGGTGAGAAGCCTTCCACGAACCTCCACTCTACTTGGGACTCGAAGCTAATCTATGAACTCGAGGATCAGAGCGACCCCATCGATGGTGAGCCCTCCTGGATGATAACGGAAGATGCTGTGAGTGACGAGCTCGACAAGGGTGGCAAGTATGCTGATGAAATCGACGATTGGATTGAAGACTGCGAGAAGTATGGCCTCGATGTGTGTGTTGACAGTTGGCTGAGTGAGAGCTCTAAGACTGCCTGTGACTACAGCTATAGACATGTCAATGGTTCACTTATTGTGGATCATGACTTCCTCCCTATGGATTACTACAACAATCGCATCGAAGTTGTCAAGGAGCAGCTTGCGAAGGGAGGTGTTCGTCTCACTTGGCTCTTGAACACCGTATTCGCTGCCCAGGATGCCACTCCTAAGCCTGTCCCTGTTGATTGCACGATTGCTGACGAGAAGTGTAATTTGACCTACTCCGGTTCCTACTGCAAGTATTGGCAGGATATTCCTGTTTGCTTTGGTAGCAACGTACCTTGCTCATGCTAGTATCTGCTGCTATTTGCTTTGTATCCTATTATGTGTATTGTGGCTCAATATTGAGTCTTTGCATTTGGCCCTATTCGGTTTCTAATGTGTGTTTATTTTTCTTCGTAGAGAAGTCCACTTTGTGCTCTATTGATTATAGTGAACTTGTCGTATGTATCCTAGATTGTTGCACAGTGATCTTACTCAGTGATCAACGTGCTTAGATAGGCCATTTTTGTGGTCAAGTTTTGTCCAACCCCGTCAGAGTTGTGTAGAGTATCAACTTAGCCACGTGCCCGGAAGGTAAGATAAGCTCCTCTCTAAAGCTAAACCTTCACCGATAACATGACGTCGAGTTGCAACCACCGAATGCCCTTAATATCAATCCCTTAGGTTAGGTAGGACTAATGGGCTGTTAGTCTACGCTTCTTATAGGCTTACCCCGCAGTGAATATCTTTCTGAACATACCTGGAGCTATGCCCCAGTACAATCAATTTCGAAAGGACACACGATAGGGGAATCAATTTCGTCTACACGACCTTCAATTCTGACGAGTTGTAGGAGTCAATTCCACTGTTACTTGGGCCGATTTTGATTAAACGAATATATGCCAGTGCGTCACAGTGGAACGGCACACATGAATTCCCTGCAAGTTTTCACCATCGCTATGTTACACTGAGCTAACAATGTCGGCACATACGGTACTTCTGAAGTTCAGAATCTGAACCATTGCTCGAAGCGCGAGGGAACTTGTCATGGACTACCGGACCAACGGCCATGGTCAATCCTGAGTCATGATCGAGCTCCTATTCTCTCAATCTCCTTGAAGTTGTTGCCTAAGTGTTCGGGCCTTAGATTTCGTATTTTCTAGTCTCGCCACGTCGTGTCACGACTCTCGTGTACATCATTGTCTCCCTATGTTCCCTCTTTTTACATCCATACATGGTACGATTATCTGTTATTAGCTGTCATTGGCTAGTTATGTCTTTTTTGCTTTTCTTCTTGCTGAGTCACCTGGGAAGGGTGACCACATCGCCAGGTTGCGGTGACTGGTGCGCTAAGGTAGCGCACATGTTTGAGTGCAAGTTGATTGCACACGTGAATCGGTCGATTTCGCTGTAGATAAAGACATGCCAAACGCTTAAAAGTATTTTTTTACGTCACATCGGTTACAAGTGTCGAGGTGCACAACACTTCCAATACTCTAAGAAACATGAACACAAAACCTGTCGGAGGATACTATCGAAGAGCGAATCATGCGCACGGCGGTTGGCAATGTATTCAGCTTCGCGCTAAGGAGACAGAACAGCTAGTAGCCTTCTTGGCAACGCCTTTCTCCTCTGTAGCAGGGACGCAATGATGAATAGACTTATCCTTACTGCCCTTGTGCTTCCTGGTGCTCTTGCTTGGGGCAGAGACGGTCATGCTGCTATAGTCGATGCAGCTAAGGACTACTTCAATAGTAATGCCAACAAGACTGTTATTGAGCTCATGGGAAAAGATGTGAGGATTGCTGACTACTCGAGTCTCCCTGATAGTGTTCTCCATGGTCCCCACGCAGCCGAGTGGGAATGGTCTGCTGGTCTACATTACGCCGATACTGATGACAAGTGCAACTTCGTCTATTCCCGTGACTGCAAGGATGACTACTGCGTTGTTGGTGCCATCAAAAACTTCACCCGTCAAGTTGCGGATATCAGCCTTCCTCAAGAGCAACGTCAAGAGGCCTTCATTTTCCTCATGCATTTCATGGGCGACATTCACCAGCCGCTACATCTTGGCAGAGCTGAAGATGTTGGTGGTAACTTGATCCATGTGAATATGAAGTTTGCTGACTTCGAGAGCGGTAACTTGCACTCCGTATGGGATTCAAAGATGATCGATCAACTCGAGGGTAGTGAGTTCGGCCCGGGCTACATCCAGCAGAACTTCAACTACAGCACTCCACCGGCCGACAGAGACATGTTCTGGACCCTTACTGAAGCCGATGTCCGAGCGGAACTTGTTGAGGGCGGTGCTTTCCACGGCAAGATTCCTGGGTGGCTCGAGGATTGCGAGAAGAATGGTCTTGATGTATGTGTCAATGATATGGCTGTTGAGACTGCTGCTGTTGCCTGTTCTGTGGCTTACAAGCATACAAATGGTGATGAGATCGAGGATGGAGACGTTCTGCCCATGGAATACTATAACGAACGTATTGAGATTGTTAAGGAACAACTTGCTAAAGCAATTGTTCGCTTCGCTTGGGTGATGAACAACGCCTTTCCCGAGGATACTCCTGTTACCACCACGCCTACTCCTACTGACTGTACTGAGGCTGATAAGAAGTGCGAGCTCAGTTATCCCGGCTCATACTGCAAGTATTGGCAGACTATTCCTGTTTGTTTCGGCAGCGATGTTCCCTGCTCGTGCTAGGTGATTTATGTGGATTCGCAGTCGCGAAGACGTGTTTATCGTTTTGTCCTATATTTGTGTCTTATACGTACTGTTTGTTTCGAATGTAGGTCCCCTCGGTGGGCAGATTTTCTATGATAGCAGACATGATGTCGAACTGTCGAGTTATAAGAGATACATAATGATAGATCGATGACAAGCTCTAATATGAACTTATCCACTTTGCTCAATGATCCAACCTAATTGACCAAACAAATTATGAATGAAATCAGCACCTTTTGAGTTAGGGAGCATGAACTACCTGCGTTTTTCATGCTATGTGAACAATAAAAAAGCAAAAAGAACTCAAATTCCTATTTTGGCGCAAATATTCACTTTAATCGAGGTAATCAGCAATATACTGACAGGCTTTGAAGCCAAGAATAGCTTAGTAACAGTACAACTAGTAGTAGTCTAGTAGTAGTGGAAGTTCTAGTAGAACTGTTCTACTATTACTACTACTAGTTCCACTAACTAGTAGTAGTCGGAACGGTGATGTTTTCGGGGAAAGCGTGGTTCATGATCCAGGCAAAACGGAAACCACCCTTCGCGAGTTGCTCTTTTACGATCTCGATACGATCATCACAGTTATCCATGGATAGCGCATCCCCATATTCAGTTGTGCATGTTATAAATCCTGCTTATAATGGCGGTCACTCCGATTACTTTGAACGAGTTCATGGTACTATTGCTGACTTTGTGCGAGGAGCTTTAGCTGCTGAGGGTGAAGATGTAAGTTTTTGGGCCAAATACCTTCCACTCGCGGTTCATCTTCATTATACTCTCCCTTATGATGATGAGATTGATTTGTGTCCCCTTGATTTAGTGCGAGGATATTGTGCACAACGACTGCATGATGTTGATGAAACGAACTATGCTCAGAAGTTTAATTCTCTCCTATTGTTGGACTTGACTCTAACGTCGGTGTTGTAAAAACTTCTACCTTGATGATTCCTTATACATTTACTGTGACTTCTGATTCAAACCCATCACTGTCATCATCCCATCTACCTAGGGATGTTAGTAAGTTTGTAAAGGACCTATATAGCGATGGTTTTCAGTTATTGCCAGCTGCCTCCGGAAATTCCCATGATGCAGAGGTTAGGGGTGTGAACCGTGGATGGCTCTGCTCCGACCTGCGAGATCTCCATCTGTGTCACAGCCAGCAACCAGGCAGTAGCCTGTGTCTGCTGCCAACTATGAGTTGGAGGACAACACGGTTCAGTAGGACACGAGAGCTGCCCGACTCCATACCCGGTCCGGGTTGAGTCAGCAGTCTCTAGTATCCTACCTCCACATTCAGGGAGTGGAGGGCTGGGTCGAGCTCGCATCCACCATTATCACACCTGTGAGCACATGGGTGTACCTTATTGCTAGCGTCTCGCTAGCTCCAGCGTTGAACCACGCTGGACTATCACTATTGTGGTTATTTTCAGCACACACGAGTGTATTTGTGTGCATAGGCTCTGCGACGCAGAGTCTGCGTGGTAATTTCGCTCACGCCGATCCTCCTGCATAGGATTGCTACCGGGAGTACGATGACTATGATGATTGTCATCCATTTTTCATGCAAAAGGAGTTGTTGTGCATTGTGTCTCTTCGTCCTCTATTTAGACACAAATGACATTTACTAGCCCTATGCGATTCTTAGGCTAAGATTCTTAGCGCTAGGGGCCTTTATACATTCATTTATTTAATAAATTTTATTATGTTAAATGAGCTTCCACAAAGTCTTGTACTCTGTGTTAATCGGATTAACTTAATCCCTCATCATTCAAACTTTTGGGACACTGTCACTCTTATTTTCGCTTTTCTCAACTGGCGTTTCCGGTCGAGGCCACCCCAGAGCTTCTATTAAATCATCGCAGCTCACCACATACTGCGAATTCAAGCCTGCAGTATCAGCAGGTCTCAAAGTGAGCAACTAAAATCCAAGAAATTTTGGAAATTTTTCGATTTTTCCGGAAATCTTACCTGCACAGGGTACATAGGATTGAAATTTGCTGCTGATAACTTCTTGACTACTCCCATATAAGCCGCCAAATCCACACTCTGAAAAATTGCGTTGAGGAAATGCAAGATGAGCAAGATGCCGGTTCTCACCGAATCAAAATACAAACAGCTCGCTGCTGGTCTGTTGTCTCTCGAAAGCGGATCAAAGAGGACCGGGAAGATGGGCAGGTCCGCATCAATGTAGGTGAAAGATTCAGGCCGCCAATTACGTACGTGTTCTGCCATGAATCCAAAACTAGGCTCTGGACTATGGATACATTGACTCCGAGACGGTTATGGATACTGCTGCAATCGCGGCAAAGGAAGACGCCCAAGTTGACGCTTGCCCAGCGGGGGCTGTCCCGGCCGCAATCTACTCTCACAAAAACATCAAGCCCGACACACACAATGCTCTTCTACCAGCGCAATGTCGATTTCCTGGCCTTGCCAGTAAGTCATCGAGCTCCGGAAGACAACTGGCGCGATGGGGTTCCGCACTACTCGATGACATTTTAGGAGAAAAGCCTAGCTCAACCTACTGGAAGCGAGCTCTATGGGATAGCATAACTTGATCCATTGTCTACACATCGGGCTCCCCTGTGAGGGCGGCCCTGGCCGATGCTAACTACTACTCGAACTCGAACAGCTAGAGGGTTTAAGCTCCATGACGCAGAAAAAGCGAGTGAAGCCATTGAACACCCAAACACAGTGAGCTACATGTTCGAACTAACATGCATAAAGACAGCTCTGATGGAAAATCTTCATTCTTCACTCTGCTTCTTGCCACGTAGATGCATCGAGCGATAATTTATCCTCTCACGGCGACGATCCTAAGGTGTAGGGCGATTCTCGATCTGGCGCACGTGGAGCCAACCTGCAAACTATTTGGAGCTCTGAGTGACTCGTACCAGCTCGAATAGGTCCCTGATAGTCTGTTTCTCTCGTAGTTCGTTGCTAAGGCGTAGGCGCGAAATTGTGGCGAGCGAGAATTTTTTTGTGGCAGCAGAGGGAAAATTGTGGCAGAAGGGAAAGAATTAGTTGCAGGAATAAGGATAAAGGGACAGTGGCAGCGCTCTTTTCCTTCGTACCAGAGACACCATCATGAACAGAGTCATTCTTAGTGCTCTTGTACTTCCTGGTGCCCTCGCCTGGGATAGAGACGGTCACGCTGCTATAGTCGATGCAGCTAAGGACTACTTCAATAGTAATGCCAACAAGACTGTTATTGAGCTCATGGGAAAAGATGTGAGGATTGCTGACTACTCGAGTCTCCCTGATAGTGTTCTCCATGGTCCCCACGCAGCCGAGTGGGAATGGTCTGCTGGTCTACATTACGCTGATACTGATGACAAGTGCAACTTCGTCTATTCCCGTGACTGCAAGGATGACTACTGCGTTGTTGGTGCTATCAAAAACTTCACCCGTCAAGTTGCGAATATCAGCCTTCCTCAAGAGCAACGTCAAGAAGCCTTCATTTTCCTCATGCATTTCATGGGCGACATTCACCAGCCGCTACATCTTGGCAGAGCTGAAGATGTTGGTGGTAACTTGATACATGTGAATATGAAGTTTGCCGACTTCGAGAACGGTAATTTGCACTCCGTATGGGATTCAAAGATGATCGACCAACTCGAGGGTAGTGAGTTCGGCCCGGGCTACATCCAACAGAACTTCAACTACAGCACTCCACCGGCCGACAGAGACATGTTCTGGACCCTCACTGAAGCCGATGTCCGAGCGGAACTTGTTGAGGGCGGTGCTTTCCACGACAAGATTCCTGGGTGGCTCGAGGACTGCGAGAAGAACGGTCTTGATGTATGTGTCAATGATATGGCTGTTGAGACTGCTGCTGTTGCCTGTTCTGTGGCTTACAGGCATACGAATGGTGATGAGATCGAGGATGGAGATGTTTTGCCCATGGAATACTATAACGAACGTATTGAGATTGTTAAGGAACAACTTGCTAAAGCAATTGTTCGCTTCGCTTGGGTGATGAACAACGCCTTTCCCGAGGATACTCCTGTTACCACCACGTCTACTCCTACTGATTGTACTGAGGCTGATAAGAAGTGCGAGCTCAGTTATCCCGGCTCATACTGCAAGTATTGGCAGACTATTCCTGTTTGTTTCGGCAGCAATGTTCCGTGCTCGTGCTAGGTGATTTATGTGGATTCGCAGTCGGCGACTGCCAGTCGCGAAGACGTGTTTATCGTTGTGTTCTATATTTGTGTCTTATACGTACTGTTTGTTTCGAATGTAGGTCCTCTCGGTGGGCAGATTTTCTATGATAGCAGACATGATGTCGAACTGTCGAGTTATAAGAGATACATAATGATAGATCAATGACCTGTGTTTTTCATGCTATGTGAACAATGAAAAAGCAAAAAGAACTCAAATTCCTATTTTGGCGCAAATATTCACTTCAATCGAGCTATTCACCAATATGCTGAGAGGCTTCGACGCCAAGAATGAACTGCTCGGGCATGTTTATCTCCTTGATCGATTCCCCTTCGACTTATCTTTCCACTATGGTCCCACACGACACTAGTAAAGCCAGTAGTAACAATACAACTAGTAGTAGTGAAACCAGTTGAAGTAGAACTAGTAGTAATAGAGCTAGTAGTAGTGGAAGTTCGAATAACTAGTAGTTGGGACGGTGATGTTTTCGGGGAAAGCGTGGTTCATGATCCAAGCAAAACGGACCCCACCCTTTGCGAGTTGCTCTTTTACGATCTTGATACGATCATCATAGTAATCCACGGATAGCGCATCCCCATATTCGATTTCATCATCATCGAGATGTCTGTAAGCATCAGCACAATCAATCATCCCCGAGCTCCCAGCCATGTTGTTCACACACTCATCCAAGCCGTTAGTCTCACAGTCAGCGAGCCACATAGGGACCTTATCGTCGGAGGCACCTCCTTCGGCTAACTCTGCCATAATGTCGGACACGGTGATTCCCCAGAACATATCCCTGGCAGCGACAGGAGTGCTGTAGTTGGCATCCTGTTGGATGTACTCGCCATCATACTGACTGGCCTCCGACTGATCAATCATCTTCTCATCCTAGACTTTATGGAGGGATTATCATTAATCGCCTACAGTGTCATTGACACGCGTGGTTGACCATTTTCCCCTACTCTTACCGAAGTACTTCGATCATCAGAAAATATCCGAAAATTGCGAATTTTGTGCCTTTTTCATCTTGCGCGGTGAACTGATTCGATGTGGATCACTCTTAACAACTCAACACTCCAACTTACAATGTACATCCAGTGGAAACTTATCTCGAAATGAAGAATGAAATGAGTAAACTTAACAGTAAGGGCTTTCATTATACGAACCACTGCTCTCCAGCACCGAAGAATTTGTTTCGCAATGACAATAATTCTCCTTGCCAATCGAAACCACAAAAGCCACAAAATTGGTTGTTTTCGTTTCCCTCAATAACAGGCTCGAACTCTGGCAGCTCTTCTGCTGGGAGATCCCTGAGATAGAAAACCTCATGAAATCAGATATGGAAACATACTGCAGTTCCTACAATTCCTCATATTCCAGAGCGCGATATGAAAATACTTGGCAAAACACATCAAAACGAAACTAATCCAGACGAAGAAAAACATCAAAAACGAACACACTCGAGCGACTGGAACGTGTGTCCTATAAAGAATTTATAAATCACGGTATTCGCAATTCGTATCGAGATCCACCCGTTTCTTATTCCGCTGATGAGTTCGGCAACTAATGAATATCGACGACTTTTTTGAGGTCCAACACGATTTGGAATAAGCGAGAATAATAACTTACCGGTCTCCGCTGATTCCATCAAGACGCACAGCTTTTCCCCCAACCGAGCCAAGCTGTTGCTCCTCTTCCATTTTACTCGCCGTAGTTGTCACCGACTGAATCTTTTCATTTTTCACTGAAGTTTCAGCCACAATTTCATCAATATCAACTTCGCTCCGCTCAAAACTGCCAACTTCATGTTCATTTCTCTCAACTGGCGTTTCCGGTCGAGGCCACCCCAGAGCTTCTATTAAATCATCGCAGCTCACCACATACTGCGAATTCGAGCCGGCGGTATCAGCAGGTCTCAAAGTTAGCAACTAGAATAGAAAAATTTCCGAAAACTTTTCCGAATTTTTCCGCAAATCTTACCTCCACAGGGTACACAGGATTGAAATTTGCTGCTGATAACTTTTTAACTACTTCTCCCATATAAGCCGCCAAATCCACACTCTGAAAAATTGCGTTGAGAAAATGCAAGATGAGCAAGATGCCGATTCTCACCGAATCAAAATACAAACAGCTCGCTGCTGGTCGGTTGTCTCTCGATAGCGGATCAAAGAGGACCGGGAAGATAGGCAGGTCCGCATCAATGTACGACATGTAGACGCCGAAACAGTCGTCACTACTTGAAATGTTTATGATACCCTACAAGAAAACTCATATCAAAACTCGGCTCGTGAGGGAACTTCGAAATCGAGTAAGTTAGTCTTCGTTCATTTTCTCATCAACCAAAAAGAGTGCCTCAGAGGATTGATATTCAACGACACTTCAAAATTTGAAGTTCAAATCTATTGGCCATCGTGGCTTTCGCCTACATTATGTAGAATGGCAAATCACACTACAGTGGAGTTTCACCCGTGATATGGAAAACACTAGCGAAAAACATATTTCACGACTACTACAGGCCGCGAATATCGCGTTTCTCACCGAGTAATACGCCACTTCACGTAAAACGGGTGAAACTCCAGTGTACGCGGTGTTCACAATGAGAAAAACAATACATGTCTCTCGTTGTCTTCCACTGATTTCACCCGTAAAAATGCATCAGGTGAAGATATATGAACCACCTCACGTGAAGTGCTTGATAAATGGAATAAATATTATTTATTCAAAATACATGGAATCACAATACCCCCTGACATGAAATTTTTCCGGTGTGAAAATTCTACAACTAGCGCTGTGATGTAAAGCAAACTTGCTCTACATGATTCTGTAGAGCAATTTCATAAAACGCTCGCATTTGTACATCAAAATGGCAGTACAAGGTTAATTTAACACTCCAGAGAGACGACAACTAGTACTCACTCCGCGGGACACTTTCTCAGCTACAGCATCTCTTTCGAGACCGAGCAGAAAATCTTCCAGCTCAGTCGCTATTGATGCGTTCGTCTTCGCCACTATTGAAACAGACGACGAAAATACAGGCAACTGAAATGAATAACAAATTTAAACCGTTTCTGGCAAAAAAAATCCGCATCCATTCAAAGCCTGTAAGAATACTTTACATGGACAAAAAATATGAGAAAAATTTTGTCTTTTCCATAAAATATTTTCTGATAAAAAATTCCATACGAACGTCACCTAGTTCATTCATAAATTGCGATTTTCTCAAAGCACCAAACTTACCTTCGTGATGACATTTTCAGCCGTCGCGCGTTCCTCAGAGGCCGGCCCAGGGAGCTCCGCTGTATCCAGATACGCCTGCTGGATATCATCGAAACCACCCTGCATTGCATCAGATGGGGTTTCTCCTGAGCATGGAAAATAGCGATGCATTTCCCCAACACTCACCATGCAACATCCTTGCTGTCACTTCAACAGCTGTAAGGCGAACTACTGTGGAGTTGACACCAGTGAGAGATAGACCTGACGTGACAGAGGAAAAAATCCCCAATCATAATCTGCATAGTCTCATTCGATCCAATTCTGAATTCTCGCAATTTCATTCCGGGCCGTGCCATCGGGAATAAATTTACGAAGTTTCCGATAAAAATAAGTCTTCAACAGATGAAGAATAAAAACACAGCACTGCACCAGCAAGCGTTCACTCAAATATTTACTAAGAACTGTGTAGTCGAAGAAGAAATCATGAACATGAAGTTTGAGCAATATCGAGCTCCACAGAGGACCCATCCGCATTCATCGTGGATGATGACAATCACCAAGACCGCCACCGCCACATGCGGAGGGCTATGTGATAATCCATGCGTTTTGGAGCAAATTATTTGCCATGAACGTTCTGCAGCTCCGTGTGCCATTTTGCCCCCGTAGTAAGAGAGGCGAATTAAACGTATTGTCTTGCACGATGATCTTTGTAGAAAATCGAGGAGTGAATACATCTCATATCTGTAACTCCCTAGACACCCAATGACAAAAGTTCCTTGAATGAACAGGAAGGACGGTGATTTCCTCTCCATGCTTCTTTGATCGAAAATGATCGCCTCATTTACTGAGCGAGGCCGACTGTTGCCTTCAGATCTTCGTCATTCACATGCTGAGGGGTTATCCAGCCGGACGACAACAAGAGTACAACTTCAAAAATGTAGCTGACGATAAAAAACCGTGTGGAGCCCTATCCAATCCTCTGGTATTGTAGACACCATCGCGAAGTTCATGTGGCCGTTTTGCATGATGCAGAATAAGTTCAGGTCTCCCATGCAAGCAGCACAATCATCTTGATTGCCTTGGGGTCGGCTCTGTACCCGACCATTCTAAGAAGCTAGTCGCCTTCGGTACAG